AAACAGGCTCCCTGCAGCCGATACCCATGTGTCAGCAGAAGTTTGTGCCATGCTGCAGTGCTGGGGAGGTCTCATGGGGCATCGAGACTAAGGCCTAGGGATCTACTTCAAAAAACCTGGAAAGCAAACAAGCAAACAAACACCCTGAGGATCACAATGGTGTCGTCAGCTATGGATGGTTGGAGATGAGGTCGGACCATGCAGCATACCATTCCACTGTGCCTGGGGTTACCCTGAGTCATGGCCAATGGCAGCTAATAACAGTATCCCCTGTGATGCTTTACTGGCTTCTGGGAACCCCAAGGGGTAGACCTTCAGATGCCTACCCCGGACACATTTACTATTGGGTTGGGAAGAAGAAACAGACATACATTAAATAGCTGCCGGATGCTTCTTGTCACGTGCACCAAGCCCACGTATGTGTGATGTGCTGTGGAAGGGACAATGGAGAAAGGGACTAGGGTTTAGTCAAAACAGGCGTTTATGGGACACAGGCCTGTCCATGTTGTTGCTGCGTTCTGTAGACTAGAGGCCGCTTTTAAGTTTGAAATCACTTCGAGGTCTGTAAGACTCCACTTACAAAGAACACAGTCCAAGGGAGTATGCAGTTAAAGGCTAGGCAATAGAAGTGAACTTTGGGGTGTGGTTGGAGAAACCTTCTCAGGGAGGTATTTGAACCTTAATAGAAATACGGGGTTTGGGCTCCTAGGGTGAAGGGGGTGGGGTGTAAAAAGGGGGATGTGGATCCTAGAAAGAATCCTGTCTTCACCCTAATGCCTGTGTTCTCTTTCCCCAGATAACATTTTTGAATGCGCAGATCGACAGACATTGTTTAAAAATGTCCAAAGTGGCCGAAAGGTATGTTTCCTCTCTGTAATGTCCCTGAAATGCTACAGGGCTGTGCTTAACAAGTGTGTGCCACCCCAAGAGCCCCAACCGCAGTCCTTCCTGAAGCTGATGCAAAAAACACCACAGGCAAAAGTAAAACTAAGATAACAGACATGCCCCAAGCCGTGTCAAGACCTGTCTTCCTGCTAAAGTGTTTCAGGGGATGGCCACAGGACCTTGTCAATCAAGGGAGAATGCCCTTCAAAGCTACATAAAGCACTTCTGCCTCCAGCCCCTTGATGAAGTCAAGTGACATTGTTCACTTTTCAGCTATAAAACGCCCAGATTCGCTTTACGGGGAGAGAGAAATTATGTGTGGCCTTTGAGGGGCTAGCCCCAGACACAGTGGCAGCCGGGAGATTGGAGCATCCGGAGGTGTTCTACCTCCACACACCATCAACCACTGCGCTGCATCAAATCAAAGAAAAGATTTGCCCCATCCAGAGCGGCTTCTGCAAATGTACTTGCACTACAATGTTTCGCTCGGTTAACTAGCAGGAAGAT